AGGTCCTATATACTTGCAAGGTTCTTGCATTCTATGTAAGGTGGTCTACGATTACCTCTAAGTAGATTATAAATAGCTAAAAACTTAATGATTTTTAGAGCAACCGCTGAAAATGCAGAGATATAGCTTAGAAGTGATTAGATAAGTTTTAAATTTAAATAGATAAATTTTAAAATGGAATTTAAAAATAGTTCTTAAAAATAACACACACTGTAAAAAAAAAAAAAAGTAAGCCTAATGGAATGTATAAACTACCTATCTCCACAAATACCAGAGAATAATTACGGCTAATAGTTTATTGTCTTTTCTTCCAGATATATTTGTAGGTACATATGTATATGGCAATACAGAATTGTTGAACAAATGTAAATTGTTTTGCAGCTAGCTTTTTCATATTTATCTACAATATATCATGGTCAAACTCCAACGTCAGGACATACAAATCTACCTCATTGTGTTTAATGGCCATATTACATTTCATAGAGTGAATGTGCCATAATTTACTTATTCTTTTTCTTATTGATCTATATTGTAGGCTGTCTTTAAATTTCCACCGTTATCTTCCTACTGCTGTTATAACAAACTATCACAAACTTAGTGGCTTAAAACGACACAGGTTTATTCTCTTACCAGTTCTGGAAGTCAGGCCTAAAGCCAAGGTGTCGGCAGAGCTGGTTCCTTCTGGAGGCTCTGAGAGGAGAATGTTTCCTTGCTTTTTTTAGCTTAAGGTGGCCACCTGTATTTCTTGGCTTGTGGCACCTTTCCTCTGTCTTCAAAGCTTATTGCTTCCCTCCCTGCTTCTGGTATCACATCACCTTGCCCTCTCCTGACTCTGACTTCTCCCATGTCCTAATTTGAACACATCTGCAAAGTTCTTTTTGCCATATAAGGTAACATTTGCAGGTTCTAGTGATTAGGATGTGGACAGACTTGGGGTTTATTATTCAGCCTACCACACCATTAACTTATAGGTAATGTTGCTGTAAACATCCTTGAACAAACATCCCTACCACTTCTGTGATTATTTCTGTAGTAGAATCCTGGAAGTAGAATTGCAAGTTCAAATTGATACAGCTTTTACGTATTGATAGATTCTGAATAAAATACCTACCAAAAAGCACTGCACCAATTTTTACTTTCTTCATCTCTTTTATACAGCAGTTGCCACCCATCTGCCCAGCCCATGCTCTCTTACATTTTGGGGTTTTACTTGGGTTGTCTTGGAAGAACTTACTTTTAAACAAATTCCCTCTTGCACCTAGATAGTCTTGCAAGGTCTTTGGTTTTTTAATTTTCATGATCAGTGGAAATCCATCTGAGGGTATATCTTAGAAGTCTATCTGAATTCAGATCCTACCTCCACCATTTTCTATTAGTATTACCTTCAGAAGGTAAGTAACTTTTCTAAACTTGTTTCTTTATTGCCAAATGGTTTGATGATAGTATCTTACTATCATAGTCCCTAATGTGTAAGTAGTTAATAAATATTAACCAGTATTATTGTTTGCTGTATATCTCAGAAATTCATTTCTATTCAGCTGACTGTATTTTTCTTAGTATTCCAGCATTTCTGTAAATGAATTCCTTTTTTTTTTCCTTTCATTTAATTTGAATTTTGAGTGGAAGGGCGGAGGTAAATGTATATACTCAGTCACTTTGAAAAATCCCAGGTTGGGGTTTAAATTCCCTGTTGGCAGGGACTTTGCCTTTTTTGCTACCCTACCTTTGCTCCCAGTGGTACTCAATAAATATTTGATGGATATTAAAAACACACACATGCAGAGACATGCACAAATTGTTGGTTTGAAATACTTAGAATCCTGAGACATTTTCAGAATTGCTTGCTGCACATCTTGATGTCACCTTACTGCATGTTTGCTTGACCTTTGAAGAAGGTAGTTCTTGATGAATAGGAATGGGTTTTTTTGTTACAGGAGTCAGTGACATTTAGGGATGTAGCTGTGCTCTTCAGCCAGGAGGAGTGGGGACACCTGGACTCTTCTCAGAGGGCCTTGTACCGGGAGGTGATGCTAGAGAACTACAGCAACCTGATCTCACTGGGTAAGGAGCTTTCCTTGTGATGCAGAATCTGCCGTGGGAACATCCAAGCACCCTCTCTAAGGAGGAAGGGCTTGGCCAGGCTTACCTGCAGGTGGGCTCAGAGAATGGTGGTTGCTGTTCCCCCTTAGCTGCTAGGAAAGGTCTTGGCTTGGTAGAGTTGATGGTGGGTATCTTTACTGCACTTTTCCTGTCTCCTCCTCTATCTCTGTCCCCTGACCCCCCAGGGGTCTCCAGCATAGAGGGGTGCACAGCCAGAGCCCCAACTTTCTTTCCAGGAGTACCTCCCACCCATCCTCTGGGTGCCCGATATTAAGTTCCTCTCAGAACACACCTTTCTGCCTCTTTGGACTATTTCTTTGCACTGGAGACTCTGGGGCTGGATCTGAGGGCAGGATGGCCGCTCATGTCTCCAACCTGTGTTCATTTTCTTATCATGAACAGGGATTCGGTTTTCCAAACCAAAGGTCATTTCCCAGTTACAGCAAGGAGAAGATCCCTGGATGGTGGACAAAGGAGTTTCTCACGGCACCTGTCAAGGTGAGTGACAGAGCAACAGGAAGTGGGCATGGTGCATTCTGATGGCCTGGGTGCTGGTCAGTGAGGAGGCTGCGCAATGGAGACACTGGCCAGGAGCCTCCGTAATGTGCTGGCCAGGTGGGAAATGGTGGGAAGGGCATGTCCTCTCTCTCTACCTTTTCGATTACTTGGTCCATCAAATTCAGAAGGAGAGTTGATTTCTCCTAACTTGAGTGCAGAGTATGTAATACAATATATAATGTATAAAAGTTGGTGATTTTTATATCTTTCACTTACTAATCTCATTGGGTAAGGAGTTTTATCTGTAATGAAGAATCTGCTATAGGAGCACCTTAGCTTCCTCTTTGGGGTTCAGAGTCTGGAAGTTTCTATCCTACTGTGCCCCTGGGAAAGGTTGAAACTTTGTAGGGTTGAAAGTGTATGTTTTTGTA